TTCTTCCTGCCTTCGTCCATCTCCGCTACGCCCGTGACTTTCCTGATGTAAATAGCGCCGATCCAGTTCTTGCCAAACTTGCGGTAGGCTTCACCATAAGATTCAGGGTCTGTTTGAGTCGAGTCCCCAATGAGGATGAACTTGCGTTTGGGGAACCATCCGTGGACCTTCTCGATGCGATCAACCTTGTAGGCCTCAGTACCCTGAGTCAGGTTTGCGAGGAATCCAGCAAGATTCATCCAGCTCGCATCGCGGAGGATCATGGTGCCGTTGGGGTAGTATTGCTCGCGGAACTTGCGCAGGAATGGGTAGAGGTTGTATGGTGATGCAGAGAGATACCAAAAGGGCGGGTTGTCGAGCTTTTGTACAATGTGCCTGTACAGTTCTGGCATACCCTTAATGGGCTCTGGCTCTTCGGCGAAGGTGGTGGTCAGGATGCCGACGGGCGACGATGTTAGAGTCTTCTTGATCGTGTCGTCCACATCGGAAAGGATGGCCCAGCCCTTGGGTTTGGCGAATGTGATGTTGAACGGCGTTGCATCGGCGTTGACGGCTTTGAACTTGTTGACTTGGCCTTCCTTGTAGTCGTTCCCTGGGATAGCCAAGACATCGGAGCTGATGCCGTCGCGTCCGCTGGGACCCAGTCTGGTGTTGATACCCAGAAGATCGATTTGGACGGCATGTGCGGGAAGGATCTGGTCCGCAAAAGGCTGGAGCCTCTGTGCGACAGTTGCCCTGGCTTGCTCGTCGTCCGCTAGGCCGATCTTCTCACTGACCCATGCGACGATCTTGGAGAGATCCTTGCCACTGTTCTTGACGAAATAGGCAGCAACGAACTCGGCATTCCACCTTCCTAGGCGATTCTGGTATGCCGTAGTATCCAAGATCCACACATAGTCGGTCTCTGGATTGACGTTGTTATAAAACGGGTTCTTGCGACCAAAATATGATGAAAGGTTGTCCTTGAGGGAGAAGCTGAATCGGCTGGTGAGTTTCGGCATGTCTGCTTCAAATGCGGCAAAGCCTGAGTTTTCTCTGGTGATGCGGTCTTGTTCGGTTTCTTCGGTGCGCATTCGAGCACGGCCAGCCATGGCGGAAGCGGATTCGGGAGCCATTTTGTATGATGGTACTGTTAGACAAAGGCGCGGGTGCCTGGTGGGTTGGTGAGGTCAGGAGGTGGGTGTATTGCACGGGACAAAGGGAGGCGAGGGCCATGGTCGAGGTCATATACTTTGTGCCTGGCACTTGACCAGGACTTGACGAGTGGCTGTTGCGGTGTCTCAGGAATGGGCCCAGTGTGCATGAGGGATGACGTTTAGCCAAGCCATGGCTCCGCATCCTGTAGGAATGATCGCTTGCCGAGCGCGCCGATCCTTGAACCTTGTCGGCGTATCGCCTCGAGTTAAGTGACAACTCAGCAGCTGAGCGAGATGATGAATCGCAAGCTATTTGTGACTTCACAAGAAACGTTCCCTTCTACTTGGACCTCTTCTTGAAATTGCGCCCTCAGGGTAAAGGTAGTAACTTGTGTTACGAGTCTTTCGGAATGGGTACTGTTATACCTGGGGTATGCACCAAAGTACAGGTTGACCCAAATGAGCTTCTTCGTCTTCCAGCTGGTGTTGGAGGTGCAGGTAGCCACACTGCAGGCGGAGAATAATGTGAGGGTCTAGCAACACGCTATCGCCAGACAAAGCATAGCACTCCGCGACACTTTGAAGGTAGTCGCAGCCTCCAGCACTAACAGCAGAGTAGTGCAGTCGCAGCAGGCTGCAGCAGATGAGTGCCTCCCGTCGTGCCAATGCTAGCGGAGTGACGTAGCCACGGTCAAGCGATCTTGGGTCAGTTCACGGGTATGAGTCTTGATATCTGCAGGTACGCGTGACGGTCAATACTCTTGCGCTCAGATGGGGCATCGCTGACAGTGTCGGTTGATGAAAGCTATGCTTGGCTGTGCCAGACTTTGTCGAGGACGAGGTGGAATCGGGTGCTACTGAAGAGTCATGCTGCGACGTGATGTTGACGTATCTTGCAGCATACAGTCGCGTTGGAACGGCTATATCGGTACTGTGCTCAAACTCGTCACCGTCATACCTCGCTCGGCGACAAAGGAAATTATTGTCATCGCTGCCCTGGTTTGGTTCTGTGTTCAACCGCCTTTGGCCTCCTCATCTTGGTGTCGCCCGTCGAATAGGCGCGACATGGTATCACGCGACGGTGCCACAGGCTAGGAACCCGGTCATGTGCTACAGTGTCGACGTATTCTGCGATGGCCCCAAGGTGGATGAACGGAAAGGGTCCGATTAACGCAGACTACGGGCCAGTGGGGTCTGCAGGTAAAGGCCGATGGCAGGTCTTGGCACAGCCTACGCCATCCAGGACGCGTAGATGTGCCGAACGGGAGGAGTAGATGGGAGAACAGCACTGAGATGGGTGCAGCGTCGCCACACGTTATACGCGGCTGTTTACGTCGGCCGTCGTGCTTCGCGAGTCTGTCATGGCTTGGCGACAAGAGGCGCAGCCCTACCTAGGTAACCGTCCGTCCGCGCGAGGAAGGCGCGTTGGAGGCCTCGATCAACACCTCGATAGTACCGCTTCTGCCTCCTTTACGCTTACGCCCCGGCCTCGCGACTCCGGCCTCTTTGCGCTTCTGTGCTTTCTTTTTGCGCAGCTGCCCTCAAATACCCTTGCGACCGTTTTACGTTGCGGAACGGCCCCGCTACCAAGGCAGACATGGACCTCAAGAAGCGCCTCAAGTTGGGCAGTTTGATGCGCAAACGATCCTGTGCGTCGCATCTCCTTCGTTTACTTATTTCACCCTAACACTGATAGCGCACGCAGCCCAAGATGTCAATATCGATACAAACGCCGATACACCCGAGGCCAATGCTACCAAGGGAGTGGTAGGTCATACCGCTTCGTCGCATCCACCAAGCTGACAGCGAGTAGATGCTCTTCTGCGAGTCTGGTGCCGCCAACTCGGTATGTTTGGTGCCCCACGAAATCCACACGACAACTAATATCCCCAGGGTGAAGAGGTCCTCCACTTGCCTACCATCGTCGAGTCCGCCGTCGCAAGCCCCAGCGCAGCCGCAGCCGCCGCCAGACAGATCCGCATCTTCCTCTCCAAAGAGAACTTCAACCGCCCTCATGTTCAGTACAACTCTGTCATGCTCATTAGGATCCTGGCCGACAACCCAGGACCCTCCTTCACCAAGAACCTCGACAAGCAATTCGCCGACACAGTCAAGCACCTACTTCGCCATGGGCAAGACCCGAGTGTCGCACAGATCGTCAAGGAGACACTGGATTCAATGGAGCGCGAGAAGGCATACGACACCAACCTGAACACGCTCTTCGCCATGTACAGGAAGGAGAAGGGCCTCATGGCTGCCGCGGCAAAGCAGTTTGGCCCCCGGAAGCTCAATGCGCCAGGCTGGTCGGGGTCACAGAACATACACGGCGGCTTCGGTTCAGGCGGACACAAGTCGTCTTCCAAGTCGTTGCCGCCACCCGTGGAGCTCGCGGGGCGCATCGAGGAAGCGCGTACATCGGCCAAGCTACTCCTCCAGCTCGTACAGTCTACACCAGCGAATGAACTGCTCGGCAACGACTTGGTCAAGGAGTTCGCTGAGCGCTGCACGGCCGCCCAGCGCAGTATACATGGTTACATCGCCTGCGACAATCCGGCGCCTGACGATGACACTATGCTCACTCTCATCGAAACCAACGAGCAGCTGTCCCTCGCTGCCTCTAAGCACCAGCGCGCCATCCTTCAAGCTCGTAAATTCATGGGTGCCTCACCCTCTCCACCAGTACAGAACGGAGCCTACGCGCCACCACCCAACGGCACCAGTAGTCCAGCTGGTGTGCCTGCGCAGTCTCCCGGGCTGTCAAATCTCCCATCGCACAACGACGCGCCTTCGCTGGCCCCTATGGATTTCGGAACGACACAACCCAGCGCATCGGCTACCAACCACGGCAATGACAACAGCTCTCTTCCCCCGTCACTGCAAGCTGCACCAGGCCGCACACAATCGAGCGCGCAAGAAGAGAACCCCTTCGCTGACCACTACACGACAACCTACACACCTCCAGCGTCGTACCAAAACTCTACGTCGACGAACAATTACGGTGGCTCACCAGACCCTTATCACCCAGGCTTTCAGTCTACTCCATCATACCTGGGCCGGCAAGAGAGCTCTGCCAATAATTTGACCATGCACGGTGCGCAACCGACGATCCAAGAAGAGGATGACCACATGCGCCCGCGGACCGAACGCCCTCGGACTCCCGATCTCAACGTGCCTCAGCAACAGGCCCCTGACGTTTCGCCCGTTGCTGAGCGTAATACCGTCACGTACAGATACTAGAGAACCATGGGTCGTGTCGCGGACTAGACGCGGACGTGAGATGTGGGGTAGCGTTTGGCAGGACCGATTTCACTCTTGGATCCCACGGGTAATCCCGGTGCTTTGAAATCGATAGTCACAAGATCGATAATCACAAAGTGCACGCTCTTTTTCTTGCGCAGAGTTTTGCAACTCGTAGTTTACAGGGCGGTTTGGAGCGCGACAGTTAGGACGAGATACCATAGTTGACTTTCATCTGGATTTAGAGTTTAATATTCTACCTTGCCTGCCCCGCACTTGCAAGCGCACCCCCACGGCCATGCAGTGACCGCGTGCGTCTCACGCGTCGCTCTCGTGCAGCGATCACGCAATCCATCCATTCCACACTGCGCCTGAATCCTGAATCGTCACCATGATACGGCACTTTCACCCATGCATCAGCTTGGTCAGCGACGGCTCGCAACCGACCCCTCCAATCTGGAAGGCGAGACCCGACGTCCCCCACTGCGGTCCCTGTTCCGCCGCTTCTAGCGCCGAAGAAAATAAGAAGCCGTCATGTTGAAGACATACACTATTGACAGCCCCATCCGCCCTTCCCTTCGCCCTTGCCGGTCTTTACTTCCCCATGGCCTTCAGCTGCAATAGTCCATGGCTCGTTCGCTTCCGAAATGCGTCGACACGTTGATCATTGGTACGCCATGGGAATAACACGCGCTCCGAGGCGACATGCTGATTACAAATTCCAGGCAATGGGCCGTCCGCGCTCATCCTCTCGTACATCCTACACGGCCATATCCCCTACTACATTGGCGGCCATCATGACGCGATTCTCGACGCGAAACTGCAGAAGTCGCCCAACCTGCTTCATCTGACGCCAGACCTCTACGCGCATTTCCTGTCCTCGTTGCGCTACTCGACCCAAGCGCTGCCCGTCAACACGCTGCTCGATACCCTCGTTCGACCGAATGCCGACACCGAGTTGAATCCTACGTCCTGCATTGAGTGGCGGTACGAGCCCGACAAGGCGATACCCCATGTCGCAATTGGAGACACGGCGCATGCGGGCGGACAATGGGCGGAGAACCCGGTCTCTGCGAGCGCGGACATTGGGACACTGAGTTATGCGGAACAGCTGAGCCTCCCGGGCTATTCGTACGCGGATCACCTGGCTAAGAGCGGAAGGGAGGATGAAGCCGAATTCGTGCGGCCATCGAGGGTGGAGGTCGCCGACTACCTGAGGACATACCCGGAAGCTGTTGGTATCGCCGATAGCATCTACACTGGGTTGAAGGTCGAAAACGTACATCGAACGGTTCGCGGCTTCTCCATTGGCAGTCTCGGGATCCGGTGCAAGCATCTCGTGCTTGCCTCTGGTATCTTCACGGTCAACATCCCGCCGCCTCAGTACCTCGCGCCCGTTGCGCAGATGGAGTCGCCAGAGGCGCCTCTGCTTGTCATTGGATCTGGATTCTCTGCTGCCGATGTCATCATATCAGCACCTCCCACTCGCAGGATCATACATATCTACCAGTGGGCTCCTGAGAAGAGGCCGTCTCCACTACGAGGCTGTCACCACACCGCATACCCGGAGTATGCGACAGTCTATCGCCAAATGAAGCTTGCAGCAATCGCCTCAAAGAAAAAGACCGCAAAGTCCCCTTCTGTACGACGAAAATCAAATCCATTCCAACAGCGCGACTGGTCCCTCTACGAAGGCCATCCCAACGCCGAAGTCATCAGCGCATCCCCCTCTGGAAAAACAGCGACCGCCACCCTCCGCCTCCCATCAGGAGAAACCGTCACGCGCGAAGTAGGCGGCCTAGCCTACGTCGTCGGCCGCCGCGGAACCCTAGATTTCCTCTCCCCCAACCTCATTGCCGAGATCCTCAACACACCCGAGCACACTACTCCTCCCGACTCCCCTTCCATCCACCTAATCTCCGGTCGCACCCTCCGCGCCAAAGCCGAAGCCACATCCCTCGAAGTCGCCCGCGACGTCTTCATCATCGGCAGTCTAACCGGTGACTCCCTCATCCGGCACGCAATCGGCGGCTGCGTCTTCGCTGCTGGCCGCATCTTAGGCGCTATACCGACATCTTACTCGCCGTACAGTTCCCCCTCGCCTACTTCCTCGACACCGCGGTCTGTGTCGCCGGTGTCGACGTCTGATACTGAGGTTGCGGCTGAAGATGGACTTGCTGGTCTTGCTGGTTTGAGGAAGGAAAGGAGTGGGAGGCGCACACCCGGTGAGGCGACGAATGGTCATGCGGATTTGCATGTTGATCGCAGGAAGCTGGTTAGGGCGGTTGAGACGGCGCAGGTGGAGAATAGGTATTGGGTTGACTCGGGGTGGTGGGCTGGTGGTGGTTTGGGGCCGGGGAGGCGGTGATGATGGCGATCGGTGGATAGGTGGATAGGTAGATAGGTGGGTTGCTGGCGTTGGCGGGAGTTTGTACATACCCATTTTCATGCGAATATATATTATCTTGGTATAACTCAACGCATTCGTATGATGACCGTGTGGGAATGACAGGATGTGTTTGTTGAGTAGGTAATTAACAGCATTCGTTTCCATATATGTCACTGTCTAAATTTGGAGACCACATAGAGGCTTGCAAAGTCAACATGGCTTGCATTATGCAATCCCAAGTCCCCATTTCCACCTAGTAGACCTTGAACTCCGCAATCCTAACCTTCATCCCCATCTTGGGCGTGAAAACCACCCTGACCTTCTGTCCCTCAACCTCCTTCCACTCCGCTTCCGTAATTCCATTCGCAATGACATCCCCGTAGACAGCATCTTCCGCGTCCATCCACTCAGCACCTTCTCCAGCACCGGGCACCTGAATCTTATACCCCACCGGCGCCGCAAACCCCTGCTCTTCATCCGCAAAAAACGCCAGCTCAGCACTACTCATACTAACACTCCTACCAAAATCGATTTCAAACCACACAGAAGAGCCGTTACCAACGGGTGTATCCCACCCGTTCTTCGCGTCCGGCTCCGTGTAGAACCAAATCCGGCCGTCGATCGCGGGGTATGTGGATGCTTGGCTGGAGTTACCGACGGAGGCAGACGCACGGGGGTAAGGGGTTGTGGAGTTGAGTTGGATGGACTTTGCAATTTTCCGCGTGATAGCTGGTGGCGCTTTCCTCTCCAAGTCAACGGTAACACGGCTGAGAGTGGGGCTTGCAGCGACGACCTTGCCGTCGACTTCCACGGTTAGACCTGTGCTGTTGCCGCTGTAGTGCGTGCCGTCTTTATCCCATTGTACGGCGATTTCGCGGCCGTGGTAGATGATGCGTTCGGCGCGGAAATAGGACAGCTGGGTGGCGGAGGCTAGGGGGGCTACTTCTAGTACGTCGTCGGAGCGAGGTCGTATGCCAACGAGACCGGACAAGACGAGGTCGTTGAAACCAGAGTGGAAGTAGTGATGCGAGCGCTTGAGGCCTACGATGGGTAGACCCGTGTCGGGGTAGTAGTCTTCTTCTAGATCCAAGATCTTTGTGTCGGGGTTCCGGTGTAGCTGTGCGTATTGACGGAGGAGGTTCGTGTAGTCATCACTGTTGATGATACCCGTCTCTTTGCCCTTTTCGTAGTGGTCGAGGAAGTTGGCGAGGCCAGAAAGTACCTGTGTCATTTGGAATGGCCACACAGGGCCGTTCCATTGGCATTCTGGGTTGGGGCCTTCGTACCGGTACTGTCGCATGTAGTACTCGTAACTGGGTTCTACAGTCCTTAAACCGGCTTCTCCCCGTAGTTTATCGGCGTCGAGGATATGGCTCCAGGCTTGCGCGTAGTCCGCCGTGTCGTCGGGTAGGTCGTGGGTCCAAGGTACCATGCCGACGAGTTCGCGGCCGCGGATCGGGTCCCAGTAGGTGACGTTTTCGTTGTTGACTTGGTAGCGGTCGATGAAGTGGGAGAATGTTGTGTTCCAGAGAGCTTCCTGGACGCGCTGTTTCAGTGCTTCGGCGCGGCTGGTGTATGTGTCTACGGTGCTGTTCATAGACCCGGCTAGAGACGCCATGTTGGCGATAGCGAGCGCGTTGGCATATTGATAACTGTTTATGCTAGGGCGGAAGGAGTCACCGCCGAAGAAACCGTCGTAGCCGCCTGACGAGTCGATGGATGAGATTGTGTATTCGGTTGCGTCGCGGATGGGTTCGACGTAGTAGAGCCCCTTTGACGTGTCGAAGGAATCGTCCCAGGCTTCGTAGACGCGTGTCATATCGGAGAGGCGCTTGATGGCGTCTTCCTTTACGCCGTCGACGAGATAGCCTTGCCAGACTGCTGCGGCCATGCTCTCGGAGAATTGGCGGCTGTTACTGTCGTTGCTGTACATGAATGTCGCGTAGTCTTCTTTGAAGCGGCGGTCGCGGCACCATCGCCCCTCCAAGAGATGGAATCCAGTGGCATCGTTCAGACTTGCAAAGGGCTTTGTCTGCCACCCGACATCGTCAAGGAACTCCGTAGATATGTATCCATAAGCACCAAGATCGCGTTGGTGAGCGCGGAAGATGGACCATCGGTAGTAGTACACATCAGTAATGTCCTGATCGCTCGACTCGAAAAGAGGAATGCGGTCGCGGTACCATGCTGCGTCGTTGCGGTAGTGCTTGTCTACTATAGCGTCGACATCGAGGAGTGCGAACCCCAGCTGGAACAAAGGTATGAAAGCAAGTGAGCTGTAGAGCTTCATGATGGGCAGATAGAATCTGTAGTTAGAGAAATCCCAAACACTACCATGCCATGTAGCATATAGCGATCCCCTTCCTTTACATAGTCCGTCCTCCTCTTACAATTAGGTTTACCGCGCATCCCATGATCCGAATGCGAGCATCCTCGTCACCATCGTTCTTTCTCCAGATTTACATTCGTGACGTGCGCCGTGCATACTGCTAGCGCCGTGCCGTAATTCGCTCTCGCGCCGCGGAGTATTTCTGTAAAAAGCATAGAGCTTCGCCGTGCTTCGTATCTTGGCCATCGCGAATCAACCGACGGCGCCTTTCCGAGCCAGGATCCATATGAGGAGCCCCACTTCTTCCCCGCGATCTGTGAGATCATCACGGAGAGAATTTCTCCGTCGCAACGTTACACAAGATTTAAGTCTGGCTGTATAGAAATCATTATGCAGACTTCAGCCGGTGCCGCGGTTGTTGTTCGTGTTCGTGAGGTGAAGATCAAGGTAGTAGACCAGGCTCACGGCGTCTGGGGTAAAAACTGGGTTCTGTGATTCACGACCTTGCGCTAATGTGCTCAACTTCAAGTATTGTTCAGTTAGAACGCTAAGATAAGAACATTTAATCAGATCGTATTCAGCTAGCCATTGCAGTTATACGTGCATCCCGTGAAATCATTACTCGTATACGTTGATCATCATAATCCATCATTCCATCAAGAAATCAGTATGGTGTGTTGCCCTTCTTGATGGCCTCCCAATCCGTAGTGCTCTGACCCGGTGCCGGACCAGAATGTTCGTGAAGGCCGTGGATGGCAGGGTTACCATCTGTTCCACCAGCACCGGTGCCGAAGCGCCCGGTGTTCATAGGCAGACCAGTGTGTGGCTCAGTGACTGTGTTGTCGCGGTCTAAATCGGAGACAGGATGCGCACCGTAGACGCCGTGCTGAGTTTCACTGTTTGTATATTAGAACTGATCAACCTTGAGGGACCCTGAACATGAACTTACCGATCGCCCGAGATCATAGTTGGGTTGCCAATCGGACCATCAACACCCATGTGCTCCCTCTTTCCTACCGAACCAGTCGACTCGGTCATCTGCTGGTGCTCCATAGCCTCACGGGCGGGGTGACCTTTCGGTGGGTCCTTGTGAAGCAGGTGCTTGCCCTTCCAGCGTGGTGAGTCGGGTTGATCATCGCCATAGTCTCTAGAGTGTCTAGGACTGTAGTCGCGAGACTGGCGCGGTGAGGATTCAGGACTGGCAGTCGACTTTTCCTTCTTGGACTTGTCGCGGTGCAAGAATCCAAGAAGACCGTGCTTCTTCTTCTCCTCGCCTTCGTTCTCCTTCTCAAGCTCCTTCTCACGGTGATGTTGTTCCTTGACCAGACGCGCTTGCTCCTTCTCGTGTTCCTTGGCCAGACGGTGTTCGTCTTTTTCATGCGCGGCGACGGCCTTGTCGTGTTTGTGCACTTCTTTGTCATGCTTGTGCTGTTCCTTGTCAAGTCTATGCTGTTCCTTCTCCCGATCCTGGGCAATCTTCCTCAGACGCTCTTCCGCCTCGCGTTCGTCTTGGTTTTGAGAATTGATGTAAGCTGCACCACCTAGACCCGCTGCACCCGCGGCGCCACCCATAAGAGCCGCGTTGCGCTTATCGTGATTGTCATTCACTGGAACTGCCCCAGGTCCCCAGGGTTGAGATGACATTTCCTGGGTATGCGTGTTGTGTGGTGCGATGGTACCAGAGGTTGGGTACGATGCGCCCGTGCTAGTCTCGTGCATGGGATAGGAAGACTGTGCCATACCCTGCGTGGGGTATGCGGTTTGACCGGAAGGCGCGATGGTACCTGAGGTGGGGTATGATGTACTCGTGCTAGTCTCGTGCATGGGATAGGAAGACTGTGCCATTCCTTGCGTTGGGTACGCGGTTTGACCGGAAGGCGCAATGTCTTGCTTCTGTCGAAGTGGAAGCTGAGTAGTGTTGTCATCATGTTTGGATCCAGCGTAAGCTCCTGCTCCCAATCCGGCAGCTGCAAAACCTGCTCCTCCAAGCGCGACATTCCTGTTGATGTGGTCGTTGGGATCAGTGCGGTTGACATTGCTCTGGGTAGTGGGGTCGTTGTAGTTGTATTGACTTGTTGGAGAAACTGGGTTGGTAGCTCGTGCACCGGCAGCCGTGGGATCGTATCTCTGGTCTGGCATGGAAGCGGCAGGCTGAGTCATCTTGTGGTCGCCGTACGCATTGATAGCGTCTTGTGCTCGCTGTGTCATGCTTTGGTTACCATACGCAGTGCCAGCAGTGCCAGCTTCGTATGCTTCAGGCTGTGTCGTCTTGTGATCGCCGTACGCATTGCCGGCTTGGTATGCACCGTAACCGGCGGCGCCTGCACCTCCAACCAAAGCAGCATCCCGACCGTAGTGATGCTCACTCTGCTGGCCGGCCTTCTCGTCAACCTTGGGATCCAGGCGGTTCAATGTGTCCGACTGATGCGGTCCAACTGTGGTATGCTCCTTTTGCTTGGATGGATCAGGCTTAACTCTTGGGTCGACGATATTGGCAATGTTGCTACTGTGCGGGCCGATCGTGCGCGAAGCAGGGTCCTCAGCTGTTGGTCCGACGTTGTGGTGTATCTGTTTGCTTGGCTCTGGCTGAACCCTAGGGTCTACGATGTTGGCAGCGTTGCTCGAATGAGGTCCGATAGTGCTTGAAGCT